CAGGCCCCAGGGGTGATTCTCAAGGGGCCGGAATGGGGTGTCCCTTTGCTGCCTGAGACTTGGGTGATTCAAAACCACTCGTTCACTGGTTTGTAAATTTTTAGTCCAGAGAATATCATGTTATGTTAGCCACCTGTGAACTCTCCAGACTTTTAAAACAATCTTTCCTCCAGCTCTGCCTCTCAGTCCATCCGTGGACACTCTGTAGCCAGCAGAATTGTGTAACTCGGGCCCTCTGGTCACGCGAGCGTTTGTCTGCATGACTTCTGCTCCTTGGAGTGTCTTATTAGAGTACATGTTCCATTCTGAGGACTTCTCAGACTTTGAAACCTGGGCCCCCTCCGTAAGCATGAAAAAGCCCTGCCTTGTAATATCGTCAGATATTAAAAATCAAACATCGCGACTCGGAACAATAATGGGGTGGAGGTGGAGCACTGCTTTTTCAAGCTATAAAAGGGACTGTACTCACAGTTGGCTGAGGAAATGAAGTAGGGTTACATTTCTGGGGCTGTTCGTACAGTGTGATGCTGGGACTTGCTTGTATCTCTGAGTTCTATGAAGCTGATCCAGGGAATGAGGGGTCCCCAAGGGAAGGAGGGCATGCAAGCCAGGGCCCATCTTCGGAATTCATGGTGGGCAGGTTTCCTTCCCTCTCGCCCAGCATTCCCTCTTTTGTCCAGCAGCTTGATGGAATTGAGCCTTGAAAGCCCCTCTCCCCAGTGAGCACAGACTCGTCTCGAGCTTGCCCACGCTCCCCGCTATACTAGAGTCAACTTGAAGGCAAAATCTTGTGCCCACCCCTTTGTTGGCCCTGAATCCTGCTTTGACCCACAGGACTTAAGTGGAACCTGATTCAGGTCCCAGCAGGAGTTTTACAATGGTTTCTTGATCATCTCTTTATCTCATTCATCCCCCTCTGCTACTAGCATGGTGTATGACAAGTAAGGGCTACTCCTTCAGACTGGATTCTGGAGCCAGAAGGCACGTGGGGCTCGGCCAAG